TGTGCAGGAAGCAGCTGATCGATGTTTCTCTCTCATTGATGTTTCTAACTCTCTATCCCTCTCCCTTCCTCTCTATAAAAAACCAATAAAATATTTTTTTTAAAAAAAGAAAAGAAACTCTTTACTTTCACAGGTACAGAGGGACTCCAGGACAAATGCAGGCAGGCATCCTCTCCTCCTTACTCCTCTGTCTCTGCCTCCCGGATTCTATCCCTCTCCTCCTCCCCATTTCCCTCCTAACCCTCATCTCCTAACTGAAGAACTGAATCCATCGGTAAGAAGTTGATGCCCAGAGCCAAACAATTAGGCTGCTACTTCTCTTCCTTTCACTTGTCTGAAGAAACAAATTCAGTATCTGCTAACAAGGTTGCCAAGACAATATGTCCCCATTTCACCAGTCTCATGTAAAATAAGGACAAACAAGGATCTATAAGGGATTTCTGAAGCACCTCATTGGGTAAACATCTCTATTACAAAGACCATTCAACTATGCTTGACTGCTTTAGGCAGGAAACAAGGCTGGAAAGATAATTTCAAAACTCTGAGATCAAGGCCATACAACTGTAGAAAGTAACTGTTTCCAGGGGGAGTCTCATCACTGCTTTCATTTGGTGATGTGACATTTCATCGTTGGCTCTGCACCCTTTGAGGGGTCAAGGACTGAGATCTGATTAATGTAATGGGCTCTCTCCCCAGAAAAATAACATTCACACAAACTTGTAGGCAAATGCAAAGGGTTCATGGATCCCTTGCAGCTGGGCCATTCACACCAGATTAACAATCCTTGCTATAGCACATTTACTTCATCTAAGGAAAGGAAATACTTGATGTCATGATTTTGAAGACTTGACAGCATGATCTGGAGGATAACAACATTAGGGAAGTGTAAGGTAAGTTAGCTTTCTTTCCTTTCCCTTCTCTCCCTTGAGGCCTGCAGGAGTCTCAAAACTGCATACTCTCTGCAAATAAAACACTGCATATCCTGCATGATGTTTAAAAAGTGACAATCTCACCTTGAATTTAAACGATCTTATTATTTAATTTTTCCTCTCTGTGGTTATAGCTTGCTTTTTCCACGTTATCAAGATGATGACGTTAGAAGGCAGGCTATTGGAGATCCAGAAACCATATATCCCAATCCAATGCCCTTGTAAAAATCAAAGCGCTCACTCTCTGGAAGAGCTGAAAGAGGCTGAGGGGTCGCCGCCTGCCCCCAGGGCACTGGCACAGGCAGAACTTCAGAAAGGTAATGTAAATACTCAGTATGAGGCAACAGGGCATACCAATTTGTTTTTCAATCTATTTTATTTCAGTTCAAAGCCTCGTTGCAGACAGGTAGTCCAAGAAAACAAGCCACATTTTAGTTATCCTCAGTCTTCCTCAATCTTCTAAAGCAGCTGAGCATTGTCAGAGTGTGGCTCTTTTTCCTGCGCTGCCTGTCTGTAATGATGCTTTGAACCGAAATAAAATAGATTGAAAAACACATCAGTATGCCCTGGCTCTCCCTGCAGTTTTATATTATCCTTCAAAGCCAGCGTTACCACCTACTCTTTACTGGAACCCAACAGACCCAAATCACAGAGTGAAACTGCAATACTTTAAATGTGAAGGTCCCACCCAACCCTAAAATAGCCATTTAATTCGGGGCTTGTTGTTTAACATTGCATTAACATGCCACTCTCTGTCCGGTTCCGTGCTCCATTTGCTGGGCTGGATTATATCTTCTGATGACAAGTGCCATCTGGTTACTGGATACAGTTTAAAGCAAACCTTGACATTGCGGATCTTATATAGTTTACTTGATTTATTACTGTCTCTGTAATTTTCCGTGTTCATGAGCCCAAACATCATATTATTTTTACCTATTTAAAAAGTCCCCTAAACGTATTTAAAGCAGGGCATTAAAAATAGTGTAACATTATTTTGAAAACTTTTAGAGGAAACCCAAATCATTTGCAAACAAATTTTGAAATGACCTCCAACTAGAGCCTGAAGCCTATCATTTTTGCTAGCATGCCTCTTTCATGTGTGCAATGGAGGAACAAACAGTTTCGAGCTTATAACACTAAAATGATGAAAAATGCTCTAAATAGACATTTGTATAATTAGGTTGAAAAAAAAATTACATCCCAGTTGGAAAAGATCAACTCTTAAGAGAAACATTAAGAAAAAATAAGATTTGTTCCTCTTCCCCCAAAAGACAGAAACACATACACACACCCCTTCAATTTTGTCTATAACATTCTTCTGGATTTTTGTAATTATTTACCATTTTACATAAGTTTCCATTTGGGGCCAAACTTCATTAGTTTCCTCTGATTGGAATTTGGCAACATATACAACAACAAGAAAACTCAGAACCTATTTTTACATGTTCTCTAACTTAATCCACACAATAACTCTTTAAGGAGGTACCATTATCCACATTTGGCAGATCAGACAACTAATCTGTAACTGGCCCACTGGCATGCAGCTCTATCAGCAGCAAAGCTATGTTCAGGGCCAGGGACTCCAGACATGTCTGAGAACCACAGCACAATCACTCATTTCTTTCCGTTCTGCAGCACCCCAAGTTCTTGTCAGCTCATAGGCTTTAAACCTGCTGGAAAGTTCTGCCTTCCCACTTCTCTCCCTTTTCCCTTCTTGCTGGACTGGATCCTTGTCACTCAACAAGTTTCAGCTTAAACTTTTCCAAGGCCCTATTGGTAAAAAGGATCTCGCAGGCTGGCACTGCTTTCTTTCCTTTTAGCAGTTGCCTCAATTTGGAATAACTTGGTTATTTCTTCACGTCTCAGACACTGTTTTAGGTCCATCTTGCTTACTCTGGTATTCACAGGGTCTAGCACAATGGTTTCTGGTACAAAGCAGGCACCCAATGTTTGCTCAACGAACAGCCTGAATTTGTTTATTTAATATTTACCAGATGACTGCTTGTGGGCACTGGCTAGCAGCTGATACAAAAGACTGCCCTTGAGGACCTCCCACATTGGTGGAAAAGATGGACTAATACAGGGTGGTGAGTGTGATCCGTTCAGGTTCAGATCCCAGTCCCTTATGCATTAGCTATGTAACCTTGTAAATCTCTTCTGAGTCTCAGTGTCTTCATCTTTAAAATGGTAGTATTAATACTACCTATGTCATAATGTTGGTGTGAAGACTAAAAGATAATCCATGCAAATCAAGCACATAGTGTAAAGCAGGCTCAAAGAGCTCTGGGCAACACAGGAATTAATATTAACCACTCATCTGTTACGATGCTCTGACAGCTGTATTTGAAATTATCTTTGTTTACTTGTGTGCCGTTTGTCCAAGCCCCTATATAATTTAAATTCTGTGGAAGGACAAAGTTCACATTGATCCTTTCACCGCTGTATTTCCAGGGATTTGGATCATCCCTAGTACATAGTAGGTGGTCAACAAATATGAATGATTTATGAATGCATGCATGCAAACATAACATTCTGAAATCATTTGTTAAACTAGTGATGAATATGCCAGGATTGCGGGCTCGATCTCTGGTGTGGGACATGCAGGAGGCAGTAGGAGATCAATGATTCTCTCTCATCATTGATGTGTCTATGTCTCTTTCCCTCTCCCTTCCTCTCTGAAATCAATAAAAGTATATTAAATAAATAAATAAATAAATAAATTAGTGATGAATAGCTAGGTTTGGGAACTACTGCCATATATGAAAGGCATCTAAACTAGAAAGTGGAGTGTGGCGGAAGTTTGAAGATTTAGCCAAGCAGAGAGATATTTCACTTTGGGGTTATAATTAAATCTACATAAACCACACAAAAAATTTGGATACCATTCCAAGGGGGAACCAATAGCCCCAGACGGAGAGAGTTGAAAGAAGAAATTCTGAGCAGTAGGGCATGGCTCAGCAGGCAGGGGGCTTCCAGGCATGACCTATTCAACCTGAGCTCTAGGACCACCTTAAACAGCTCAACCACTCAGAAACTAAGATTCCTCCTCGGAAGTGGAAACATGGACACTTGCTTATAAAGCCTTGTTAGCACAAAAATGCTGAGTATGAATGCAAATAAACCACCTGACTTCTGGTAGGAGCTGGGTGGATGGTATTATTCTTATTTAAATTAGCGGAAACAATTCCCACTCTGAATAATACGACATTAAGACCAGAAGAGAGAATGGAAGTCATAGTGTTTTGTCAAACAGCTCTAGGTGCAAGGGACGGGTGCAGGAGTTTCTCATGAGGTGTGAAGTGACCCGAGAAATCGCTGGACAACATGGACCCAGTCATTTGTGTCTAGGGTAGGGGTCCAGGGTAGGGGTCGGCACTCCTTCTGTGAAGGGCCAGACAGATATCCTCCGCTTTGTGGGCCAAGCGATCGATGTCATGCAACATGGGACTCTCCCAGCTCGGCTCCTGCAGCAGGAAAGCAGCCATAGACAACACATAAACAATGAACGTGGCTGTGTGCCAACGAAACTCCCTTTATGGGCTCCGAAATCTGATTTCATATAACTGTCACAACTCATATGAAATATCCTCTCCCCCGCCCCCCAACCATTTAAAAATGTAAAATCCATTCTTAGTTTCGGGAGGGGGACGTAGGGGGACGGATTTGGCCCTAGGCCAGATGGCCCGCGCCTGGCGAAGGGACTTGGCCGGGGGGAGGGAAGGGACCGAGAAGATCGGCAGCGGCAGCGCGAGGCCGCGATTCGCCGAGGAGCAGGGGTGCGGGGCTAGGGCCGGCCCGGGGGAGAGAAGGCCCCCGCGGGGGGGTGCCCAGCCGGGACCCGCCGCCTTTCTCCGCCGGAGATGAGAGCCGAGCCTGCGCTCCGGGTGTGGGCCGCCCCTGGGGGTCCGCGACCTGGGACGGGGGAGAGGCGGGGGGCGGCTGGGACTGGGCAGAGCCCGCGGAGTTCGACACGCGGAAGGGTCTCTGTGACCCCCTCATTTGGGGCGCCTCTCGAGCCTCAGCTACAAAAGGGGTCTCCACGCTGAGTCCTCGCCCCGTTTCTATGGTTACCTGTTCAGCACCGATTCAAACTGCCGTTCTTTATTGACAGCGCCATAGAGGACACGAACACTCCTGCCCGAAGGGAACAATAAAGATTTCTCCATTCAACAGCGCCAGAGACGCCACAAGGCGGCCATCTTGAGGCTGGCGAGGCAGGGATATCAGGGAGGAGGGGGAGGCCCGGCCTGCCCCGCGCGCCGCGGTCACGTGCTGGGGGCGGGCCTCCGGGGCGGGGCCTGCGTCACGCATGCGCTCTCCACCAACGCCAGGACCCTGGGGCCAGTCTGGTGCTGGCCGCCGCTCGTCTTCGCCGCTCGTCTTCGCTCCTGTCCGCACACTTTTAGGAAAGTTCTAACTGGGTCCCGCCGTCCCTCGCCGAGGCAGCCCTGGGGTTAGGATCTTATTTCAGAGGATGGCGGAAAGGTATACACAAAGGATTTCTCTCCGTTTTCCAAAACATCACGTTCACGTGTCAGGCGGAGACGGGACCTGAGGCTTGTCCCCGGGCGTATTCTCATTGGTGGAGAGGCTTGACACCGCTCAGACATGATTGGCTAACAGGCCCGCATCAACCAATCGTGTCTTGAAGGCATTCTTTTTTATCCCGCCTCTACTCCCAATTTTAGCTTTTAGGGTTTTGGAAAAAACGTGTTTACGGCAGTTTGTTTACTAAATTCCCGTCTCCCGCGCTTTGTCGCACACCGTATGTTCCACGTTGACGCTCCTCTTGCCGGCCTCACACAGCCAGGCAGGTGAAGTCGGATGCAGACAGCCTCAGACTCATCAGGTCAGGGCCGCGTGCGCCCACCGCGCTGCGCGCTGTCCCTCTGACACGCAGCCACTGTTTCTGTCACTGCCAGTCACGCTGCCCACATCCAGGTGTCTCGGTACAATGCCGGGCTCCCTGTGTGTTACAGCTGTTGCCTCCACAGTGTCAACATTCGGTCATTGTCAGACTGACTCCCACTCCATCACCGTTTTTAATCACAAATTCAATCCACTGGGCAGAACTATCATTCACATTGTCAGTGGCCCCTCATTTTTACCGTCACTGTCTGATATGCAAACACTGTCAATGACCACAAACTTCAAGCTGTTCTGTACAACGTTAGCACTTGGACTGTGTGCCCAGCTGTCACCCTTTCAGTTGTCCTCACTGTCACTGTCACTGCCACTCGCCTACTTTCACTGCCACACAGTCACACCAATATTTAGCAAGCCCCCACCGCTACACAGCTGTCCTTGCTACTGTCCAATTGATCACTTTCACTGTTATATTCACACATCACTGTCTCGTTCAGAGTCAGATTTAATGTAGCTGACATTCGGTCCCTTTTGTAGTCACTCGAGCCACAACATAGCTGTTGAATCGCCTAATCATTTATTTCCACTATCCTTGCATTCTCCTTTAGTAAGAACCCTCAATATAGGGTTGCCAGATTTAGCAAACAAACACCTACAATGTTTCTTGGCACATAGGTGCTCAAGAAATACTGGTCAAATGAATAGATTAAAAAAACACAGTATTGCCCTAACTGGTTTGGGTCAGTGGATAGAGCGTAGGCCTGCGGACTGAAGGGTCCCAGGTTCGATTCTGGTCAAGGTCATGTTCCTTGGTTGTGGGCACATCCCCAGTAGGGGGTGTGCAGGAGGCAGCTGATTGATGTTTCTCTCTCATTGATGTTTCTAACTCTCTATCCCTCTCCCTTCCTCTCTCTAAAAAAAAATCAAAAAATAATATTTTAAAATAAACAATAACAGCCCTAACTGGTTTGGCTCAGTGACTAGCAGGGGTGGGCAAACTTTTTGACTCGAGGTCCACAATGGGTTCTTAAACTGGACCGGAGGGCCGGAACAAAAGCATGGATGGAGTGTTTGTATGAACTAATATAAATTCAAAGTAAACATCATTACATAAAAGGGTACGGTCTTTTTTTTTTTTTAGTTTTATTCATTTCAAACGGGCCAGATCCGGCCCGCGGGCCGTAGTTTGCCCACGGCTGGACTAGAGCATCGGCCTGCAGACTGAAGGGTCCCAGGTTCAATTCCAGTCAAGGGCATGTACGTCGGTTGCAGGCACATCCCCAGTAGGGAGTGTGCAGGAGGCAGCTGAATCAATGTTTCTCTCTCATCGATGTTTCTAACTCTCTATCCCTCTCCCTTCCTCTCTCTCTAAAAAAAAATCAATAAAATATATTTTTAAAAAACACAAAACAACAACAACAACACAGTATTATTCCAACATACTGTATGTGAATGTGGATGACTTGAGGCTTACCAGTCACAAACAACAGGGATAACTTTACGAGTACAATCTGTCCTCCCTCTTCCACAAATTCTGCATCCTATCGGGATTTGAGGAGAAAGTGGGAGACATGTGGCCACTATGCCTAAACTGAAATCCTAGGGCCGTGTTTGCAAAGTGTAGGTTTTTTTAAAGTTTTTATTTCTTATTTTATTTTATATTTTAAAACAAAAATACATTTGCCGTGGAGCATTTGGGAACATTGGAAGGAGTCCCTCCTTCTGAAGGGTTGTTTTGGACATACAGAATGCCGTCCCTGCTCTTGCTGGTTTGGCTCAGTGGATAGAGCATTGGCCTGTGGACCAAAGGGTCCCGGGTTCGATTCTGGTCAAGGGCACGTACCTTGGTTGCAGGCTCCTCCCTGGCCTGGGCCCTTTTTGGGGCATGTGCAGGAGGCAACCAATTGATGTGTTTCTTTCACATCAATGTTTCTCTTGGTCTCTCTCTTCCGCACTCTCCAAAAGATTAATGGAAAAATATCCTCGGGCGAGGATTAACAACAACAACAAAAGAACACCTTCCCTCAGTGCACCCCCCACACGCACACATAGCCAATGGGTCAACGGCTGCAGCTTCTCCATCATTGTTTACTTGTGCTTTTGCATTACCAGAAACTCCCATGGGGATGCCTGCACCACAGTGCATGAAGAACAGCATAGGGTCATGGAGAGCAATGGCCCTGGCTTCTGGCTGGACCTTCTGAGAACTTAATCTCTTGGGATCTCTTCAAGGTTTTTAGAGAATTAATGATTGCTTCTAACTAATCGCCAGAAAGACCCAATCCTTGACCTTGAGGGGGAAGTTACTGTGGACTTTTCACCCTTTTTTCTCACCCTTGAGAGAAAAATGTTCCCAAGACAGTGACTGAGGTGGCTCCAACTAACCTACCATTTCTGAAGTGACTATTACATGCCAAGAATACTGGGGTGAACAGGACATGGTCCCTGCCCTGGTAGGAAGCAACACAGCCACTACCATGCCTACAGCTACTAACAAGTCATCACTGACCCCTCTTTACTCTCTGCCGGGCACCATGCCAAGATCTTTACCTGGATTTTCTCATCCAATGCTCATAACCACCCAACGAGGTGGGTCACACATCACACTCTTATCCCCTTCTAGGCAGGAGGGAAACGGACTCAGAGAAAAAAAAATAATTTGCTCTAGGTAACACAGCTGCTAAGCAGTGGAATTGGGGTTTAAAACTAGGAAGTCTGACTCTAGAGCCTTAATTTTTTTACCCCAGAATAATGACTTATGGTTTTTACAAAATATGTAGGTTCACTGTGAACAATTCCTGGGTTACCAAAAACAACAACAACAACAACAACAACAACAACAACAACAGCAACAAAAACACACACAAGAGAGTTAGAAGCAGAATCACTATCAATTATAGCACTTGGCGGTGACATTACATTATAGGGGAGCATTTCTCCATCTCTGGGCAGATATACTCAGATAGGTAGATGGACAGATAATAATGATAAATAATGACAGTTTCCCCCTAGTGAGCACTGTGTGCTGGATCCTGTGCTGAGTGCTTTCCATGAATTAACACATTTAATTTACTCAGACATGAATAGACAGCATTTTATTAAAATGAGTTCATTTAACACATTCAGGGGTCACATCAGCAGCCAACCACCTGGTGGTGTTTTCCCCAAATCTGGTTCTTTTCTCGGTCTTTGCTGTCTCCTCTCTGCCTTCCAATCAGATCTTAAGCCCAGCGTCCTTGGGCTGCAAAAGCCGAGTCTTTAAATAGCATCCTCGCACAGCTGCCGCCTGGTCAAATGTCTCTGCTGTTCCCCAAGGCGGTGGTGTTATTTGTAGAAGTGGATTTTGCTAGAGGCTCAACATATGCTTTTTATTTCTTAGAGTAGGTATCTGGGCCTTGGCATTCTTTTTCCTGGCTTTCTAAGTGTTAGGATTTCACTCCCTTTTTCTCTGATCCTGCTGAAGCTGGGTGTTTAGATCTTGACCAGTGGAGACCAGAGAGTCTCAGGAGAGGATGCTGTTGGAATTTGCCAAATGACTCAGAAAGGTCAGCTGCCTGCTTATCCATCTGGGATGACAAAAGATGGAGAAGGAGGGAGCTTGCCTTGTTTTTGTGTGTGTGTTTTTAAAATATATTTTATTGATTTTTTTTTTTTTTTTTTTTTTTGAGAGAGGAAGGGAGAGGGAGTTAGCCCCTCCAAAGGGGCTGTCGGCCGATGAGAGTCCGGAGCACTTCAGTGGTTCTGGCTCTACCAGCATCATATACTGTGAATGAACCGCTTCCCTCAGCTTCCCCCGACACAAGGCAGTCTTGCATTTAGAATGATGGTGTCAGCAGCTCCCCGGAGATGGAGAGTCCACCAAGCCTGCCTCTCCGTTCTGGCTCCCCAGCTCAGAGCAGAGCCCACCCACCATTCCCTGCCCCATTGGTCAGGTCAGACACCTTTGTCCCTCAACCAGTCACTGAGTCTTGTTGATTTTTGCCTCTAAATATGCTCTCTCCACATCCACAGGCAAAGTCCAAGTGACCTTTACCTCTCACCTACTGGGACATCCTCCTGGTGTGTCTCTGTTTCTATCCTTTGTTCTGTAGACAGCACACCAGCCCAGTCTTACATCTCTGTTAGAACCAACTTGATAAACGTATAAGAAAGTTACACCCAAGACAATCTACTCATTTAAAGTGGAATTTGGGGCCGTGTACACACTTGTGTAACAAATTGAAACAGGGCATTTTTACTTTTTTAGAGCAGTTTTAGGTTCACAGCAAAATGGAGAGAAAGGTACAAAGATTTCCCATAGCCTCCTGCCCCTACACATGCATAGCCTTCCCTACCATCAAACCCCCACCAG